GAGAATGCTTTGAAAATGATGGCGGCAGCATATGTGCAAATGTGCTCGACACATTGGAGGAATGTATGGATTGTGATGAGATGTAAGAGCCCGCAATAAAAGTTTTTTTTTTTTTAATTTAAAAAGAATACTGTCACTGGGTTCTCAGGCTCTCAGCCACATGGTAGCCAGATCTCTCTAGTCTATAGTCCCTCGGCCCTGTGTTCCCTTGGCCTTGGCCTCTAGAGCTAGGAAGCCAGCCCGCCTTGTCCCAGTTTCAGTCTTGGGCCCGATAGGAGAAAGTACCCCTCAGACTCGGCACAGCTCCTCTGCGTCTCCGTGCCACAGCCGCCGATCATCTGGTCGCGCTGGCCTCTGCCACTTCAGACAGAGAGAGAGCTTGCAGACGCTCTTCCAAAGTCCCAGGGATCTTCTCCTCTCTGCTATTTCCAAGGCTGCTCATCTGTATAGTCACAAAGTGCTGGCCAAGAAAACCAATCCCCTCTTCGTGTGACACACACTCTCTTTGCATAGTCCTTCCAGTCCTCGCTGGGAGTTACAGAGATAGGCATAGAAGAGCCATGACAAGAGATTGCACTCCCCCAGAGGGGCATGCGCTGACCTCGACCTCAAGCACGGGCCCTGGGCTGGGGGGCAGTTGGCTTCTCCTCTCCCTCTGGAAGCCAGAGTAGCTGGTCAGATGTGGCCTCCACGCCATTTCTTCATGGGCAGACTCCAGTAAAACAGGTCTGTGTTTGAATTCTACCCGTCACTTTCTGGATAATTATGGGCAAATGACCTTAGCTCTTTGAGCATAGATCCCTACTCTGGAAAACTATGCACCTCCGAGATCGCAGGTTGTGAAGATTAAGTAAGACCGTGGATGTGCGTGGCACATCTGTAAGAGCGCCATAAAATTACCCATCATCTTTATGTTCACACGGCCGTCAATGTGCGTGAGCGGGGACCAGTAACCTGAGGACGTGAGACGGACACAAGTTAGTTTTCTTTTCCCCCTTCTAGACCGTTAGGGCGGGAAAAGGGTGCTACAGTTTGCTGTCACCTCTACCCAGCGGACCTGAGCAGAGGCAACATGGTGGATCACTGAAGCAACGTCAGGCTCCTATTCTGGAAAAGACCGTGTCGGCCTTCTTGCTGCTTTGTTGGGTGGATTTCTACCATCGGTCAGTGAAAGCCAGAAACCTCAAAGCATTGTCTGGAGTTCTTTTCTCCCACAAACGTCATGATGCTAACTGGACGAGAGAGCTATTATCCCTTCAAAGTGCCCAATTTCATCAAGTACAAGATGCCATCGGCTATAAGACACAATCATTTTGTGTCTCTCATCATGCTGCCAATGAATCAAAAGACACGTGGAAACAATTAGTCCAATAGACTAACGGACCTTATAAATATCAGAACTAGCTGGTGCCCAGCTACCGCGACCAACTGCTCAGAAAAGGGTCATATGCGAAGGTTCTGGATAGAGTGGGAGAAAGCTATGGGACAAAACTGAAAATCATAGAGACCAGGCTTACTGGTCAGAGACTGGTGGGCCCACTCAAACGACGGGCTTGTCGTCACCCTTCAGGTCTGGAAATGAACTCGCCCTGTTAGAATAACCATTTAAGACCAAGGGGGTAGCGTTTACCCAGGCACAAAGTCCAGAGGGCTAGGGAAGGTGGAGGAATAGACCCAGGAAACACGAGTGGGCAGTTATGGGACAACACGGGGGCTGCACTGGATGAGTTGAAATGGGTATGAACTTTGGATCTGCTGTGTAAACCTTCACCTCATTCACATCTAAATGTTTTTAAAAGTTTCCAACTGACCTATGACAGACCAGTGACCCTTTCTGTGACATTAATATGAGGTCCTCTCTCAACTATCAGAATAGCGTCGGGGGTCTTCAAGGCTTGTTTCCAAAGCAGCCATCTAGTGAGATGTCGAGACCCACATGGAAGAAGCACATCAACATCCATGATGCAAGGATTGTAAGCGCTAGCATCCAAATCCGAAGGCGGGCATAGTACGAGAGCTTACAGTGGGAGCTCTGTTGTGCCGATGGCTGGGAATGACAGTGGAAGCCCAAAACACATCTGCAGGGGCTGCACAGGGAATAAGCCTCCAGGGATTTCCCTCTAGCCATAACTGAGGGGCGGGAATAACCTGGTGATCAGACAGAGTAGTGGAGAGATAACTGGAGTCAATTAAAACCATCAGTCTGACGTGACCGGCTAAAACCTTGTTACTTGATACTTTGGGCTTGATCTGGTTTTTAGTATTTTATGGTTGTTTTTTTTTTATATTGGGGTTTAGCTGGTTTTTGTCATTGTTGGTAACCTTCTTGACTCTGTTAAGAGTTTTTCAGTTTGCCAGTGTATGAAATCCTGAAGTGAATCTATAGAAATAGCTAGAATAAGAGTTCCTGGTGGGTACAGCTGGGGGATGGGGAGCGTAAGAGGGAACTGACATCAAGGAGTTCAAGAATGAAAAAATGTTTGAAACTGTGATTTTGGTAGCAATAGTTCAACACTTTGCTGATTGAGCTATGGTATGGTGTGATGTCTGAATTAGCTCCTAATAAAATGGCTTGGAAAATAAAAGTAGAACAAGATATATATTGAATTATTGGATGGACGGATGTTTGGGTGAATGAAAAGTGGTTGGAAAATGGTTATACGAAATCTCTGGATCCTAGTCCCCAGAGATGTTCACTCCGAAATCACCTCACAGGGGCACAAAATAAGCTTAGATGTCGTAATTTGCTTAACGACGGACAGTGGCGCCTCCTGGTGGCCAGTGCAGGGAGCACACCCTGTGGAAGAGCGTTTCATTTGAATCAACTCCACAGGTTAGGAACGGTGCAATGGTGTTAGGGGGGTTGGCATTTTTCAGAAGATTGAGCTGATGACCCTGCAGAAGGGAAGAAAGAATGCAGGGGCACCAATCAGGAGCTTACTTAATCAACGGAAACTAAGCCTATGACTTCAGCCCCAACATGCCTAACCATTCAGAGCTTTTTCACAGGGGCTTTCTCAGTTTAGCAATGTGGCAAACACATTCTAAGATCTGTTCAATGGTCCAATCATCCTGCCCTTGCGTAATACTGTTACCTGGAAGTAGCTCAAGGTTTCCTGGAGCCTCTCCACTCTGCAGTTCTTGTTGCACTCACAAAAAAGAGTTCAGGAAAGGGATCAAATCCAGACCAGTCAGAGAAAAAGGATGAAAGGAAAGGGCAAGTTTATTGAAGGGGGAAAGCCCAAAGGGCTTAGCTAGTCTGTAAGGCCGGTAGACTGTATTCTAATGGTGGACCTCCCACCACTGGCTGGTTCTCTGTAGTGTACCTCCTGTTTCCAGGTATGTGCATCCCAGAACCCAGAACCTTCTTTCTTCCTCCCCCCAGCCTTTTCCAGGTATCTTCCATGGATGAGGAAATGTGCCTTGTCTGCCCTTCCCCTTCCTTGGTGCTGGAAAAGTATGTGGGGGGCAGGTCTCCCACTCTCTCCCGCCTGCCAGATTCCTGCCATCATCCCCTCTCCTCCCTTTGCCCACTTCTGACTAACAATAGCTCCTCCCTCAAGTGAGAACTGACCTACTGACTTGCTTCTCATAGAATGGGGCTGATCGGATGGCATGCCGTGTCCATGATTGTGCCTTTTAGCCCTCTCCCTTGTTGACTTTGGTGATGAAAGGAAGTTACCAGGTGGGGGCCAATATATTATACACGGGCAAGGAACAAGCACAGCCTCTGCCTAATGGCAAATGGAGTCCCTCGGGCCAACCCTTGAGGAAATGAAACCCTACAACACCATAAGTTTGGAAGTAGGTCCTTCCCCACAGTCTTCAACGACAGCAAGAAAAGCAGAGTACGCTTGCAGAGAGAGCCTGTGGGCTCTTCGCTGGGGAAGTTGGACTCACGGACCCACAGAAGTGAAGCTGAGTGTCTGTGGGCTGAGGCTTCCTGGAGAGGGGGGGGCGGGGGTGCCTCTGGGCGCTTAATTCAGGGAGCTGGGTTTTCTGACCCACAGAGTTTAAGCTGATTATCTTCAAGTTGAGGTTTATAGCGGAGTGGGATGCCCTTTGGCAGGGGGGGATTTACTAGCAGACTTGACAGAACTTTGCAATAGCTCTTGATCAACTCAACCCAGAGCATTTCTCATGTGCATCATGACTCGTTAACTTCCTAAACCCATCCATCGTGAACTTTTGCCTGTGAGTTCTGTGTAGCTATTACCATGAGTATTCGAAGCTGGAGATCCAGTAGAGAAGTAAAACAGAACGTAATTACTTAAGACGACACACTAGGCCTTAACAAATCATTTACAATCCATGGAGGGCAGATTACAAGGAAAGGCCATCAACACAAGAGGGAGATTAGTACAAACTTCTATCCCTAGAAAGGAAGAGGGTAATTGGGCTCATTCCCTTCAAGCATCTCTTGAGAGACACACGGCACTGAAGAAAGCATGGCATGCTGGGCTGCTAACCATTGGCACATTCCTGCTGAAGAGGGAAATGAGGTAGGTCCCTGTCAGAATGAGACTTACTAAGCAAAAAGACCTGTTAAGACCCTGAGCCAGGGAGGCCAAAATGAGTTTTAATGACAGTTAACTCATCAACAGATGAGAGGTTTTTCTCATTTCTCACTCTCCCTGCCTTAGGATCTCTTCCACAGTCTTTCAAAGCTGCCATTTCAATGGCCGCCTTTCACTGAGCCCGGCTCTCCAGGGGCTTCATACAATAGTCAGTGGCTCTAAAATTCAACTGCCAAATTGACCCCACCCTAAGCCCCTGCTTTTGCTGCCACCTTGGATTCTCCAGTCACTCAAGCTGGACCCAAGGGACAAGCAACCCCCCCTAACCCTTCCCTAGTTCAGCGGTGTGCCCCCTCCACTCCCAACCTTCCTGTTCTCAAACTCAACTCCCCACCCTGGAGTCGATGCGGATTCACAGTGACCCTATAGGACAGGTAGAACTGTCCCTGTGGGTTTGTGAGACGGTAACTCTTTACAAGATTAGAAAGCCCCACCTTTCTCCCATGGAGCAGCTAGTGGTTTTGAACTGCTGACCTTGTGGTTAGCAGCCCAACACGTAACAACTACAGCACCATGTTATACAGACAGCTGTCAAATAAGCACAGTCCCAGTCTTCAACACTTCTAGCCACAAAGAGACTGCAATGGTCCTCTCTGGAAAATAAAAGACTCCATCTTTTTGTGGGAAGAATGCACTTCTTTCTTCAAGGTTCTGATTTAAGGGATGGACAGAAGGTGCTGAAGGAGGGAGAAAGGACAATGGCCAATACCCTGAAACCAATGGATGGAATGGCTGGGAGGATCCCAAAACACAGCAAGGCAATTCATTACCATCCCAGCTAACAGCAGGAATGACAGCATTTACAGGAACACAGTCTCCTTCCGAGTTCCGTGACTCACCTTCATCCCTTCAATTCTCTGCCAAAGCAGAGATGGGGGGGCAACAAGAAGGCAGTCCATCCCTTGCCCTGAGAGGTCCCACTCAATGAGTCAGTCCCTGCAAACTGGGGTCAGTGCACGGAGGCAGGGCCATTGGTTGGCCTAACAAGTTGTCCATCATGCCGATCTTAGCATCTTGCTTCTCAATGTCCTCAAACGGAGTCCAGGACAAGTCATGCTGTAGCTTGTAGGCACCAAGGAAGTCGTGTGGACAACTTGTCCCCCATTCCTAGAGAAGGCAAAAAAGTCAGGGCTGATCAGGGTGGGATGGGAATAACCAGCCCGTTTCTTACCACACCTTTCACTCAGGGCAGGCTGGTCAGGATTGGGCGAGCACAGCTGTTAAGTTTCACATCAGATTGCTCTTACCAGAAATCAGGTACCGTCCTTAATAGAATCGCTGCGCAATAATTTAAGCGCATCAGTTGCTAATCTAAAGGTTGCAAATCAAACCTATTCTGTCACTCTGCAGAAGCAAGTCCTGGTGAATTGCTTCCAGAAAGATTACAGCCAAGGAAACCTGTCACACATGAGGTTGCCAGGAGTCCTATCTGGATTCACACCAGCCCCAATATTCTAGAAAATTAACCCCCCTGCCTACATTTTCATAAACACAAGCCAAGAGCTCTCAAAGGGTTTTTGAGTCAAGAATAAATGCTCCTACCTTTGGAGAAATGATGGAAAAATACTGTTGACCACTCTCTCGTCTATAAAGGTAGTAAATGTTGCCCGGTTTTTTCACAATATTACAAGCGATGTGGTGCAAGTCGGCATCCCGGTGAGCATCTTCGAGGATCTAAGAATCATGGAGATGCGGCCAATCAGGCAGTGGAGGTGGCAGGTACTCAGCATCAGCGATCATCCCAACTGAACTCTGGAACTGCTCGCTGCTTGGGCTCTTGCTCTATCCCCCAGAGCAACGAGCCACTACTGGAGCCCAGATGATTCTCAAGAAACAAAGCTTGCACTTCGCAGCAGGATGCAAACTTGTGTTTATAGTAGTATACTATAATGCTAGCCATTACTGGCTTTTTAATTTTTCACATTTTTCTATAGTGAGTACATTTCTTATGTAACTGAAAGCATCTCCCCCCTTTTGAAATGCGGTTATTTCTGAACTCTCTCCCCATGGGGAACAAAACATACTTAACCCCTTCTTCTCAGGCTTTTCACTCTACACCTCTACTAGCAGGTAATGACAAGTTACAATGCTTATACAACAGTTCAGCCTGCGAGCTAAGTAAAGGCTCTAAGAACCTTCCTGAAGTCATCGTTTACCTTCCTGGCTTGTTCTTGCAGATGCTGGATTTGCTCAGCTATGACGGTTAGCTTATTGGTGGCATTTGCTCGGATGAATTCGTCAGCCTGCAAGAGAAAGGAGCCCTCACTGTGGCTGAAAAAGGATGTTCTCATTTAGCGTGTCCTATGAACCTCCATGCATCCCAGGCCTACCTCAAATAGCACCACTTACAAAAGCTTAACCTGATATCTCCCCACACTACAGACGAGAGGGCTCCTTCCCTATTTCCCGTAGCTGTCCACCCTCTTTTTCATTCAATAACCTAGACCAGGGGTAGGGAACACCAGGCCCGTGGGCCCCATAAGGGCTACGACATCATCAATACCAGTAAACATCACATGCCTCAAAGAGAAGCCATTCCGGCCATCACACACCAAACTACTGCCATCCAATCAATTCCGACTTACCGGTGACCCAAGAGAACAGGCCAGCACAGCCCCTGTGGGTTTCCTAAACTAACTCTCTATGGGAGCCCCATATTTTTCCTCCAGGAGCGGCTAGTGCTTTTGAACAGCTGACCTTGCAGTTAGCAGCCCAATGTATAACCAAATATAGCAAGCTACTTTTTAAGTTGATAATTATGTAGAGCCTAAGAATGAGGTTATAAATACCCAAATGCCTCTGGGCAGAAAAAAGCCTCCCGGTCCCTGCTCTAGACACACTGAACTTCAGGGCCCACTATCCCCAGGTTTGTTTACTAGCAAACACTTGACTATGTGCTCATGTGCTCTCTCCTCTGGCTCATTCTTCCCTTGCTCTTGGCCTCACTCACACTATTCATTCTTCAGGTCTTCATTTATTTCCTCCTGTTTACGCACTTCTGAGATCAGGGATGACTCTACACAATAAAAATTTAATTGATAATTGCACTATGGTTTTTTCTCATCTGCCCATGTATGAACCCAGTTATAAAAAGTACTGGTTAAGAGCATGCACACTGCTACAGACATGAGCCCGCAACACAGGGAACCCAGTATAGATAAACCCCTCAGGGCCAACAATGAGAATAGAGATACCAGGAGGATTAGGGGAAAGTGGGGGGACAAAGGGGGAATCAATCACAGGGATCAACTAGAACCCCCTCCCAGGGGGACCAACAGCAGAAAAGTAGGTGAGAGGCAATGGAGGACGATGTAAGATATGAAAATAATAATCTATAACTCATCAAGGGTTTGTGAGGGAGGGTGGGCGGGGGAGGGAGGAGGAAGAAATGGGGAGTTGATATCAGGGGCTCAAGTGGGAAGAGAATGCTTTGAAAATGATGATGGTGCCATATGTGCTTGACACACTGGATGAATGTATGGATTGTGATAAGAGATGTAAGAGCCCCCAATAAAAGTTTTTTTTTAAAGTACCGGTTAATTTGATATTATCTCAGCTGAATTATTTACAGCACTTCGAGTTAGAATTTGTCTGTATCCATGTTTCTTTAGAGTGTATTTATGAAATGAACTATTATACAAATCTGCAACAAAGTTACAATGTTCACAGAACACCATCATTTACCAGGAGACAGTGCAATGGAGGCAATGGAAACTGCTCAACAGCCCATCCAGAAATTCAGAAAGCCAGGCGACTGGGGCAACCAAGACATGTGTGGGGAAGGATTGATCACTCAGGCAGCTGAAATCTGTCAAAAACTGCCAGCTTACTCTGCAGAAAAGCTGACTAACTTCCAGTAGTACACAATGAAGGAAAAAACCCAAAGAGGTTAAACTTGAACATGAACTAGGGACTATTAAGAGAATTTGCTGGTTAAAGGAACTCAAGGTCAAAGGTTGGCAGGGTCAGAATGGCCAAGGTCATCAGGCATGAACCCATGTTGTGAGTGAACAGAATCTCCACAAGTGAACAGAGTCAATCACTTATTCATTTCAAAGATAAACGAAGCATCAGCTTGGCCCTAGACACGCTGGCCTTCATCAACCGAGTGCACCTGGCTATTAAAACTAACAAGCAAGCCAGGTAGCAATTGTACAATACAACTTGATGTGATTGAACTATGGAATGATATATCTGTGTTAGCTCCCAATAAATTGGCTTTGGGGGAAAAAAAGGCAAAATAACTGCAATCATGTATCTTATTTAACCCAATAAAAAATAGTGCTATTTCCACATGTAATCAACACAAAGGGTTACTGTTAGGATGCTTTACATTTCACATCAAGTTTGAAACCCTGTAAATATTTTATATTTAGAGTATGTCTCAATTTGGACACAAAATTTTTATCCAAAATACTTGATCTATATTGAGACTTTGTAAAACTTACAGTTCAAAAAGTTAGCTCAATACTCAAAGTGTTCTAAATACTTTAGTTTCCCATTATTGATGAATCCATTATCAAATGTTTAATTTAAATTAAAGGAAATAAGACTAAAAAATCCATTCCTGACACCAGCCACACATCCCAATGCTCAATCGTCACACATTGCTACCATATTAGCATGCAGCTCAGAAACACCGAAATATGGGTCATTAAAAGTAGTATGACAGGTACTCAGTTCAATGATGCACTATGATGGAGAAAAAAGAACCAGTTGGAAGGCAGGCGCAGCTTAAAAACAACCAAGTAACTGGTTCTAACAAAGGGGATAGTGAGGACGGCAGGAATGGGAATGGAAGCCAAGCAGGCCTGCCTCACGGAGGGTGTCACACTTGACGTCAGGGTGAGTAACAGGGAGGAGGAGGAGGGAATGCTAGCAAAGGGCTACCCAAAAGGCTGGCAGTTTGAACCTACTGGCTGTTCTGCAGAAGAAACACGTGGCAGCCTGCTTCCATATAGATTAAAGCCTAGGATACCTGATGGGGCTACTCTGTTCTACTCTGTCTTGTAAAATCAGGATGAGTCAGCACGGATTGGTTTTTGGTCAGCCACAGAAAAAGCTGGAGCAAGAAGCTTCCAAGTATTTCACAGGCCGATGCAGCTAGACAGTAATCATCAAGTGGCCACCGAGGAAACTCAACTCATGGTGACCCTAGGTGATTCAAAGTGTCACAGAGCCCCACAGTGTCCTCAATGGCTCTGAAGAGGACTTGAACCTGAACCTCCAACTTCTGGTGACATTTAACAATCTGCACCACCCAAGGACTCTGAAGAATAATTAGGGAGAAGGGGAATGTATGTAATTTTAGGATGAGACTCAGAAAGATGAAGTAAATTGGCAGAGATTTCAAAGCTACTAAATAGCAGTTGAGAGATGTGAATGTCAATCAGATTCCAAAATTCTTAACTAGGCCTGTGGTAATCATTTCTTTTGTAAGAATTAATACAAATTTGTCCAAAGGAGTTGGAGATTGAAGAAGTACCAGATGTCCAACTCCTCTAAGATGCCAGTCTGCTCCATTTCCTCCCCTCACTCCTCCCTTGAACTCATGTTTCTGGGTTCTGTGAATCGCTGCAGTGTCCCACAGAAACTCATGGAAGTATGAGGAAATGTCTCACGTGGTAGCAGGTGCTGTTCAGTCCAAAATCCAAAGGTGGGGCAGGGGTAAGCCAGATGCTGGGGCCAAATGACCCACTCCACTCCCGGCTCTTGCCAATGATGTGATTATACCCCCGCTTCTCAGAGGTCTCATTTTATATGCAGCAGGATGACACTGCAGGGAATCCCGGTCATAATTACTTACAGGTGAGTCCTATCAGTATCTCTCCCCCACCTTCCTACAGGGACAGATCGTCTGGTGGGAGTTATACTGAGTATCAATGGTGTAATCAAATTAACATATAACCAATCCTTCACTCACAGATATTAATCTATTCTCCACCCCTGTGCTGTAGCTTCTCTATAGACACATGACCTGGGGCCTCTGGCAGGGTATTTCCAGTAGGCATTGGACTCCTACTAATCTTCATCAGCCAAGCTTTTTCCCTGGCCACTCGGAGGCAGCTTTTCTCCACTCAGCTGTAGCATATCATTCTTGACATCCATTACAAGTAACAAGAGCCAAGATAACCAAGCATTTAGCAAAGAGAGTAGCCCGATTCACCACCTCTACTAAATCAGATTTTTTTTTTTTTAAATCTAAATCAGATTTGAATCCTAACCTACTCCTGGTCCATAGTAGACAATGCCCTCCAAAAACAGGACTATCACTACAGGCACAAGAAGTCCAGAATTATATCACATAAGGGATTATGACTGGAAAGGCCATATTGAGTATAACTCAAGGCCTCCCGAGCTTTCGGAACGCACCTAAAACCCATTGCCATCAAGTCAACGGACTCAAAGTGACGCTGTACCAGCGGTTCTCAACCTGTGGGTCGTGATCCCTTTGGGGGTCAAACGACCCTTTCACAGGGGTCGCCCAATTCATAACAGTAGCAAAATTAGTTATGAAGTAGCAACGAAAATAATTTTATGGTTGAGGGGGTCACCACAACCTGAGGAGCTGTATTAAAGGGTCACAGCATTAGGCGGGTTGAGAACCACTGCTCTATATGCAGAGTAGCTGACTGTGGAGCACTGGCAGGTTTGAACTGCTGACCTTTGGGCGCTTTAACCACTACGTCACCTTCATGGCCATTCACAGAGATTAAACTGCTTAATTCAATTTGGTTTCTCTCTAGAGTGTTAGTCTTCAGCTTTTCAAAAACTGAGGATTCTATTAGAGAAATGAAGACACTTCAATACTGCATTGTCTGTATTTCACTAGACTCTAGGCTAAAAAGAGTCCTGGGGGTGCCTGTCAGGTAAGTGTTGGACTGCAGTGTTAGTGGTTCAAGCCCACCAGTCACTCCTTGGGAGAAAGATAAAGCTATCTGCTTCCACAAAGATTAATGGTCTTGGGAACCCAAAAGGGGCACTATTAATTAGAATCAACTCGGTGGCAGTGGGCTATAGGCTGAAAGCCACAATCTGTGTCCTTTATTTCTTTGGCTCAGACCACTGCAATAAACATGACTCGGTAGCACAGACAGAAAGTGTCCGGATGGTCCTAGAGGCTGACCCTGGAGGTCTCCTTCCCTACACAAGCAATTTGGCCAAACAGACGTGACAATCTCATAATCCAACCAAGTTTTACTTTGCTCCCTACCTCCTCTTTAGAACAGAGAAAGCATGTTTAAGTCAAGGGGGATCGCCTAAGTATTTCAACTTTTCTTCATTAAAACACAGAAAACTAAAATATAGACATGTAAATGTGAGGGAATTTGAGAGGATTCATTTTATTATTAAATATTTTGAGCAAAATTAAGACCTTTGACTATAATGAAGGCCAAATCGGATCTTGTGTGCAATGATAAGGGGGTGTTATAAGTTTTAAAGCAGCAGGATACTATTTCCATACCTATTAATCCATCTCACTACCATCGAGTCTACTCTGATTCCCAGAGGCCTTATCTAGGATTTTCAACGCTATAATGATTTAAAGAACCTCAATGGCTGGTGGTTTTGAATTGCTAACCTTGCAAGTAGCAGTCCACCGCTTGCTTGATAGGGCTACGAGGGCTTCTTGTGCCCAGTAAAAAACCACTGCCATTATGTCAATCTGACAATGAAGTAACCCTACCTGACAGAACAGAACTGCCTCTTTGAGTTTCGAAGGCTGTAAGTCTTTATAGGAGCAGAAAGCTTCATCTTTCTCCTGCGGAGCAGCTGATAGGTTCAAACTGCTGACCTTGTGGTTTGCAGCCAGTGTGCAACTTAGGTATAACACCACCGAGGTTCCTGGTGCCTATTAAACGGGGTCTTAAAATAATAATAAGATAAAAGGAATTCAACATCTGGAAGTCTTGGTAAAACTATAAGGGATTTGGTTTTTCATTGAATAATGCCAGAGCTTTAGATCTCGGGGCTTAGTTCATTTAACAGGTTAAAAAAAAAAAAAGCCTAAAATCACATTGCACATGATAGTATCAAAACTCAGGTATCCAAACAACCATGCCTTTTCTATTTCACATTTCCTCCTTATTGCACTCCTCTGGGTAGCCAGTGTGTAAGCATGAACCTTAATAATACTGTGTGCCTCGGGGAGGAGACAAGCCAGTCAGGGTGTGATGTAGCAACGATAAATCATACAACTTTCCTCTAGTTCCTAAATGCTTCCTCCCCGCTCCCACTATCATGACACGAATTCTACCTTGCA